AAATTTAACATAAATAATATACACAAAATTCATTATCATACTAATAAAATCCATCAGTAACATCTAACCTTAAAATACTAATAATATTTAAAATCATCCATAATTTTCAACCATAATTAAATACATACATATCATTAACCAAATCATCAACCATGAATAATTCCTTATAAAATTCAAAAACCCTTTTAAAATAATTGTTTAAAATTATTTAAGTAAGGCTAAAATAGTATTTGATTATTAATTTTAATAGGTTGATAAATGGATTATGTAAACACGTTTAAATACGATAATACAATTAATTAAACGTGTTTTAAACATATTACTTGGGTTTGATACTATTAAGACACGAAACACAATAAAATTAAATCTAAATATGTTTAATCTCGTATTTTCCCGTATTATGTTATCGTGTTATGTTTAAAGTTGTCAAATTTAATAAAATTCGTTTTTGATTCGCATGCAGGTTTTTGACCACCAAGAGAATTGAAGGCCATCTGCCTTGAAAAACAAAAAAAAAAAAGGCCATCTAGGCACCCTTTTTTGTAATCTTCTATATAATTTTGAAATCAGTACAAAGTGTTTAATTTCTTTTTAAAAAATATTGAGATAAGATAGTATTTCAGGCAAAAAAGTGCATAATAAATTAAACTAAATTAAAATGGGATATAGAAAATGTAAGAGTTGTGTGCATCCAGAAACAAAATATGTTTCCATCAGAAAACGAAAAAGAAGGATCGAGTACATAATATAAAGCAATTTAATTAGCTGCAGCTTCGCTTTGGCAACCGCGTGGCAATACTAAGTGCAGTATGGATCATAACACGCCTGACAATGCCATTAGATAAGAATGTTAACAGATAGGGTATTCATTGATTTTGAGATACCCAAATTCGAATCTGATTAGTAAATAGAATATCTAAACTTTATAATTGTTTGAATATTTTTTAAATTTATTATCCTAGCTCAAATTTTAATATATACTCACTACCTCGATAATTACTCGAATTCATTTAAAAATTCAATTATGTAAAAAGATTATTAAAATATTTTTCATAGATACTTAATTCCTTAACCTAAATCCTAGCTGTATTTATATATAATAATATTTTTATCTATATTCTATGTAATTCACTAATAATTAAATTTATAAAAAACACAAATAATAAAATTTAAATTTAAATAATCAAAAATAAATATCTCAAATATCAACTTAAATAACTAAAAACAAATATTTAAACAACAACTTAAATAACATTACAAGTTCAATTAACAATATGGGTTTGCTATTAATTACATGAAATTAAAAAAATAACTAAGTTCCAAAACTGTTTTAATCTCATAACTTCTTTTTAAGTATATATTTTATAAATTTATATAAATAAAGGTGTATATATTATAATTAATAATTTTATAAGTTCTAATTTTTGTAACGTTAATTCAAAATAGAAAGTACATAGGTAGCGTTTGGTATGAGAGAAGTGAAAACACATTTCTTGCAATGTGCCTAATTAAATTACATTGCAGTGTTTGTTTTGTAACATACCACTACAATATAAGATTGCAATGCAATCCCATTACAATCAAGGGATGTAATGTGATTGCAGTTCAAAACTAATGCAATCACATTACATAACATTCTGTAATATTTTTAAAGATATTTTTACCCTTTAACTTTATTACCTTATTAAAAATATTTTATAATGTTATAATTA